CGAATTAGAAGTACATTGGCAGGCGATCATGGATACATGTTGCCAAGTTGATAACTTGCCAGGGGGATGGGGAAGGGATGAGGACCAGGGTTGGAGGGATGGAAGGGGTGATGCCGGACAGGAAGGGTGAGGGATGGAACGGATGGGGGGGAGATAATCAGGTTTGCTGATCGGAATGGGCGATGGAAGCGAGTGGCCCGATGGAGTGTTGGGCCGAGATGGTGGGAGGCGAACCCGCGTGGGGGATTGAGACTCTGACGTGGGGGAGCCGTTGTCTTCTGTATTCTCTTACAAGAATCGGCACCCCAGTGGGCTCGCTGTTATGGTGAATACGGAGAGCGAGGGAGGGGGAGAAAAAGAATGGGTTTTTAGGGCAGGGTGTGAAAACTGGATTCAAAGAGGGCAAGTGAACAGACAGATGGTGATGGTGTGGCTTAAGTGCCATTGGTGAGGGGAAATGCAGGGGTAAGGTGCAAGGCGTGGTTGCTTGCGTTCCCGAGACCGGAGTTAGTTACAAACCTTCATAAAAAGTTGTAGTATTACAGTACACTGTAAGCAATTGCGGGTGAGACAGTGTTACAGCCACATTTTCAAAACACTTAAAGCATACTGTTTTTACTGTTATTTTACAGGGAAATTAATTACAGTGTACTATTGTTTTTGCACCATTAGTAAGTCCAGCATGCATTATTAATACATGACTAATACAAGCCAGAAACAACAAAAACACAGCATTAATCATCAATTCAGAGCACGTTTACATTAATATTCACATCCATATGGCATATTATTAGCCAGCAGCCATCATAGATGCTCGCCAACTAACTGGTGAATTGATATGTTCTTGTATTGTATTATATATCTTTTCATTTATGATTTGTTTAAAAAAAGGAGCATTTTCTCAATCAATAATGGCAAGCTTTGTTAAACCTGAACAATAATATCTTCCTTCATTCAGAAAAGTTGTTTCTAACACTATGCATCGTCACTAATATGACATGTGGATGTGAATATTAATGTAAACGTGCTCTGAATATGATGATTGAAATTGTTTTGTAAGAAATCTGTTGTCGCTTGTGTGTTGTTCATGAATTAATGGTGCAGTCTTGAGCAGAAAGTTTGGTAGGATGGAGCTCTACTTTACTTGAGGAACATAAAAATGGTAATTAATGGTAAGCTAATCATGAAGTAATGAAGCAGCAAACACTTTACCAGAGGAGACACAAAAATAGTAACTAATATGTATGTAAGAAGTCATGATTAATAATTGCACGTGTCATTTCACACCTGATTTAGAGTTAAATATATGTGCTAATATGCATACAGATATCCGTTAATGAACCAGTGTTGTTAGACACAGTTTATAGTCATCTGTAGTATATACCTATTGTGACTTTATTGATCAGGATTGACTTACAGGAGTTCCTTAGTTACAGAGAGGTTACAGCGCATTTAAAAACAAAACACATACTTATAATAGTTGACTCATAATTAGTTATTATTTATCATAATCTGATATACTATACGTCATATACATGTAAGTACTTGGGTTGTGTATTGGCAAGAATCTGAAATCTGTTAATTTTGAAGCTACAGCTAGCTTCTGGTTAGCTTAGCTTAGCATAAAGACTAAATACTGAAAATGGGGGGAAACAGCTAACCTTGCTCTGTACACAGGAAATAAAATATTTATAGCAGCACCGGTAAGGCTTATTAACTTACATATTATATCTTGTTCATTCATCAATATGTAGTGTTATGGGACACAAGTCACTGCGCCTGGCCATGAAACAATCTGGTATGTAACAACCTCCACAAAGTGTAATTTTTACACCTCCATTTTGTATGAATTAAAGAGTAATAATATAGTATAATATGTTCATTAGTGATCTTTGGAGGGGCTGGTATTTTTTTTAATTTTTTTTATTCTTTTCCTTGGGACCGAGCTAGGGTAGCTGTTTTCTGTGTTTCCAGTCTTGACAGGAGTCTCAGCCTACTGCCTTTAGCTGTGGTGAAAGCTGCCTCCTTGTCCCACCTCAGCTCCACGCTTTAGTGCTAATCCCAAATCCAGGCTTCAATACAATCCCTCAAACTCAAAGGTGAGGTCAGGGCACCTCCATACTGTGTTTTCCTACTGTCTATAGTCTGCCCCCTAGTGGCTGTGATAGTATATACACCTAAAATAACAATTGAGAACTCACTCGCCTCACTCTGCACCTGCAGTAAAATGTTACCAGTGTACTGCTGTGTCCTAAGGTGCACAGAGGCACAAAACACTGAGATACAGAGCTGTAAAAGACTGCAGAGCTGCTGACTTGACCCTCAATACTCTGAATGTTAGCAAGTGCAGCTTTAACCCTGCAGTGTATCCACAACACAATGAAAAATAAACTCAGGTGTGCCTTGAGGTTCAGCTGAAATGTAGAAAAAGTCAGCGTCAAACAGGGTAGTGTCATCACTGACAAACAGCTTCAGGGCGAAACTTCACCACTTCTTCTCCTTCACCTCTCAGCTCCCTGCCCTCACCTGAAGCCGATCACATTCTTCACTTATTTTCTACATGGAAATGGAACCTGAATTGTGTGTTCTGGAAAAACGTGGAGAGCTGCTGCCCAGTTGAGCCCAGCTCCTACTGAGCGAGGCGGCGACATGATGAATAGACAAAACCGATCTTGCTCCCGTGGCTCAGAGTGGACTATAATCAAGATAAATGTTTGTTTTTGATTGCTCGCGACTGTCGAAAACTCTGAGATGTAGCTGATTTTTTGACAGCGGGGGAAACTCTGATAGACAGAGTGACATAGAGAGGGAGAGAGAGAATCAATGGATCATCTATTATGTCCAGTGCTTAATGAAAAGGCTCTGCTGCAGATTAATAAAGTGCTGCCAAAAGGAAGTCTTCAGAGGCCTTCTCTGCCTTTAGCTTGATGTCATGATCAGTTTAATACTCAGGCTGCTTGTCCTCCACTATTGATCCGCTGCTTAATGGCTTTTCTTACACATGCATCATTCAAACTGCACTTTATTGCTGTTGTTTTTCTACTCTTCGATTCTTTCTTACACCACTTATCCATTAAGGTATGAAACTGCTATCTATCTATCTATCT